CTCCCTTCTTGCAAAACATTGTTACTATTTGTTTCTTCTGTTCTTACTCTTTTCCCCCTTTGAAAAGAACTCAACTTTATTTATCAAAGTTTCTCCTTTTGTGTAGTTCCCTCCTTTCAACCTTTTGTCATGAACAGTACCTCACTTCCACTCCTCTATAACTTTGGTGGCCTGTCTTGGCTTCTTAAGTGATGTGATTAGCTAATTTATTCTTACCCTTCTTTGTCTTCACTAAGCACTATAAATGAGGATCAAGTAAAGCACTTGCATTAGGACTTGAGTTCATAACCCCAGAACCCATGCAAAGCCAGAAACAGAAGTACATGTCTGTAATTTCAGTGTTTCTATGGCAAGATAGGAGGTAGAGACAAGAATAGCTTCAGAAACTTATGAGCCAGTTAGCCTGGTATATACAGTAACAAACAATAAAAGTTAAAATATCTCAAGCAAAGTGGAAGGTGAGAATAGACACCTAAGGTTGTCCTGGAACAGCCTATCTTTCTGGTTGTTTTGTTCATTGGGAAGGGGGTATGTGCGTGTGGAGGTCAGAGGACAACTTGCAGAAGCTGGTTCTCTCCTTCCATCATGTGGATCTCAGGACCAAACTCGGGTCATCCTGCTTGGGGAGCCTTTACCCACTAAGCCATCTCTCTAACTCACCTGCTGTTTTGTTAGGAGAGGTTTTTACTTGTATGCAGATTTTTACTACATGTATCCTATAATTGCTTAATCATTCACCAAAAAGATCTGTTAAATCATCCCCGCACACATTTCTTCCCTTCCACTTTTTGATCCATTGCATACATTTCTGATTATGAAAATTTTATTAGTACATTATTTATAGTAATTTTTGAATTAGTGATTTACTCTGCTTGCAAATATAAGATACATTGGGCATCACTCACCCCTGCATCCACACAACCATCTCCCTGCTTCTAACCAGTCAACAATGAGTGTTGCCTAAGACCTGTGTGGTTTTAGGCAAAGTACCCTGTTAAGGTGAGAAAGCTGATCATTTCTCTATCTAATAAGGAATGCATCATTCTCCTAAAATGACCGCCACACACAGGCTGGGTGCTTTAAACAAGACACATACATTTCTGCCAAGATCAAGGCACTATCAGGAATAAATTCCAGTGAGCCAACAATCTACTCATTGTCCTCACAAGAGCGTGTGAGTGTGTGTGTGTGTGTGTGTGTGTGTGTGTGTGTGTGTGTGTGTAGAGGGAGAGAGATCTGTCTGAAGGGTGTATTCCTCCTCTCTCAATGATGCCAGTCCCACTAAGTCCTATGCTTATGACCTCATTTAACTAGAATTACTTCCTTAAAGGCTCTATTCTCCAGTGTAGTCACGGTGGGGATGAAGGCTCCAGGACATGAATTTGAAGAAAACACGTATCTGACTGGAATACCATTCTCCCTGATAGCCTGTCTTTGCCATATTCATACTCTTTACTTAAAACACTTAGTATATTATATGATATATAAAAGAAGCATAGTGAATATGAAGAGAAATGTACTCAGGAATTAAGAAGTCCTCAAACCAGTGCAAAGGTTCACTTTAATTTTTTCAAGATAGATAGTCATTATACAATACATTATTTTTACTAAAGTATACTTCAATAAAAACATGATTTATAATTAAAATAACAAACCTGGGACAGAGAGAGGGCTCAGCAGGCAAAAGTGTTTGATGCCAAACCTGACAATCTGAGTTTGATTCCCAGAAACAAGGTAGAAAGAGAGAAGCAAACTTCACACATTGTCTTCTGATTTCCAAATGTGAGTTATAGCATATGCATGTACACATGCACACACACAAGTAAACATTAAAAATTAAATAACCGACATTTTTCTCTCTCTTTTCCAGATCGTTTTGGGAGTATCTTGGTAAAAATGGAAAATAATGTAATGTTCTTTTTGAAGGCTGACATTACGGATGCAATTAAGCTACATGCATGGGCAAATAGTACAATAAAGTCAGCACTTTTCTTTAACAAATCTTCTAAAGTATATTTAGTATATTTTAGTGAACAATTCTTGGTGCAGCCACAGGAATACCCCTTATATCTGGAGCTACAAAGTGTAATTCACAAAACCAAAGACAAATGCCCATATATGGCATTTCAACACAATATTCTTAGTGATTTTTATTTTATGGACAAAGGAGAAAGTCTGACAATTTGGACTCAAATAGTCTACCCAGAAAATATAGGTCTCCATATTATTGTAGAACACTATGGTCCAAGTATATTATCCTGGACACAAAAGATCTCCTATGAGATTGCCTCTGGATTATCTACTAAAAGTGTGGTAAGTTAGTATTTTTATTTCTTTATTTGATCTGAATAAATATAAAACGAGAGAGAGAGAGAGAAAGAGAGAGAGAGAGAGAGGAGTGTATGAAATGTAACAAAGTAAAATAATGTATACATAATTGAGATTTTATAAGAGCAGAATTTGGAAGGAAAAGGGGGGTAGTAATGGCTGAGCTTGTAAGGTCATTTGTCACCAAGCCTGGTGATCTGAGTTTGATCCCCAGAACCTAAATGGTAGGAGAGAACCAACGCCTGCAAGTTGTCCTCTGACCTTTACCTATATGCTGTGGCATACACATTCCCTACACATATCATACACGCACACGCACACACACTACATACGTAAATAATAAATATATTATTTGTCTTACTTAAATATTTAAACGTCTAAAAGTATACTGTGTGTCTTAGAGAAACTTGGGTTCCGATGTATCTAGATGTACAAACCTAAATGATACTAATTTGAGGCCCGATTTCAACCTTTTCTGCTCTACAGAAACTTTTCAATTTTCTTTTTCAGTTAACAACATTTTCTCAGACAACAAATTATGAATCAGTAGATGATTACTTCAAGCTAGAGTAAGTGTAACTTTTAAACATATTACTTGGGTTCTTAATGTGTATGGTTTTTTTTTTCATTTAAATGAATTCATACCCTTTTAGATGTCCAAATTTCAAATTCTTTTGCATGTCTAGATGTATATGAAATGAATATTAGCCTTTAAAATGAAAGTGCCCCTTGTACTTCAGTGGGATGTGAGCTGAAGGTTCTCCTTTGCCCTGCTGAAGATGACAAAAGGTCGCCACATCTTAGCTTGCTTTGTAGCTGCCATGGAAACCCTGAAGCAACGAAGCTCAAAGAATAAAAGGGCTATTTTGAAGTTTTGGTTTGGTTTGCTTTTTTCAGACAGGGTTTCTCTGTATTGTTTTGGAGGCTGTCGGTCCAGCCTGGCCTCGAACTCACAGAGATCCGCCTGCCTCTGCGTCCCGCGTGCTGGGATTAAAGGCGTGCGCCACCACTGCTATTTTGAAGTTTTGAGTTTATGTCTCAGAGGCCTTGTTGCAGCTTCTGAGCAAGACCAGGTGAGGGATCCCATGAGCCAGGTGACAAGAGGGGAGAAACCAAGGTCAACAGTCCCCTTCAAGGACATCACCCCCTTAAGGTCCACCGTCTCCTGATGGTGCTACCCTGGAGACCATACCACATGTGAGCCTTCAAGTCATTCTTATCCAAACCAAAACAGCTACTTGTTAACTCGACAATTTTCATGTATGTATTATCATTAATTCCTAACTCAAAGTCTCTACATGCTATCCTTAATCAAAAGGAAGAAGTCTTGATATCAGAGAAAGCCTTTAACTGTGAATAGAAAGACTGAGCACTGGCACATCAGAACCTATCTCCAGTGGAAAAAGACAAATGCCGACCAATTGAGTAAATTAGATAATCCCAAATGCTGATGAGTGTTGTTAATAAAATAGGGAGCTGGGAGGTGGCTCAGTCAAAAAGTGCCTGCACCCATGTAAAAGCTAGGCATGGTGTCACGTCTGAAACCCCAGCACTGGGGGCAAGGAGATGTAGGATGGTCCCTGGAGCTCATTGGTCAGCCAGTCTAGTCTAATCAGTGAGGTCCTGGTTCAGTAAGAGAGCTTGTCTCAAAAACTAAGGTGGAGAATGATCAAGAAAGACACCTGATGTCAACCTCTGGCCCCTACTAGCACATATATGAGCACACATATGCATGTACATGCAGACATATACACACACAGCACAAAGAAGAAAGAAAAGACGACAAAGTGGCGGAGCAGTGACTTAGGAAGAGATGGAAGAAAATGTTCCTTGTACACAGCAGTCAGAAGACACACTATCACCCTTTCTTGTTCCCCCTCTGCCTTTTCTCTCTGGCTTTGAGGGATGGCTGATCACAGCGGTCAGTTGATGAGATCTAGATTTATCTGGGAGATGTTCTCTCATGATGGAGATCATCATGATTTGCTGAGGCAGGAAGACCAGACCATTATGAGTGGGACCATTCCTCGGTGTGCTGGCTAGTTTTATGTCAACTTGACACAAGCTAGAGCCATTTGCAAGGATGCATCCTCAACTGAGAAAATGCCCCCATAAGATCCAGCTACAGGGCAATTTTTTAATTAGTGATGGGGAAAGGCCCAGCCCACTTGGATGGGGTCATCCCTGGGATGGTCCTGAGTTCTGTAAGAAAACATGCTAAGCAAGCCAAGAGGAGCAAGTCAGTAAGCAGCACCCCTCCTTGGCCTCTGCATCAGCTCCTGACACCAGATTCTTGTCCTAATTGAGTTCCTGCCCTGGCTTCCTTTGATGACGAACTGTGATATGGAAGTGTAAGTCAGATAAATCCGTTTCTCCCCAAGTTGCTTCGGGCATGGTGTTTCATCACAGCATTAATGACCCTAACTAAGACACCTGGAATGTAGTACAGAAAAAGTACACCACACACAAGCATTTACCCGTCTCTGTTTCCTGACCATGGAAGTAATGTGGCAATCTGCTCTTCCAGCTTCTTGCTGCCTTGACTTCCTCATCAAGATAAACTCTACCTATGAACTGTGAACTCACACAGACTCTCCTTCCCTTAAGTGACTCTTGTCAGGGCACTTTATTACAGCAACAACAAAGCAACTAACACCTGCCAGCGGCATAGGTTCCTTTCAATATTTTGGCTTTTATGGATATTTACTGAGAATTATATTGTAGACCACACATAAAATTATCTAAGATACTTTCTTTTCCCTCATGATCCCCTCCCAAAAAGTAAAATCTTATCAGGAAGTAGCATCTGAATTAAGCTTTCAAATGTTCTGTTTCTGTTGTTCTTGAAACCTCTGTTTTGCCCAAACACAAAATGATCTGTGTACACATGGTAACTAAGAAAGGCATTCTATCTGACCTTTTTTTGAGTTCAAATCAAATCAGTTATGCACCTTAATGAGATTAGGAGGTGACTGGCTCTTCATCGTTTCAAAGGTATTGCCAGTGGGGTGGGAACTCCATAGAACAAAAGGAAGAGCGTGCTGAGGAGGAAGCAGGTCAAGGCATCAGGGGCAGAACCTCAGTATCCAGGCACTGAGGATATTTGTAGAGGGGGTGAGAAGTATCTAAAATGCTGATCATGCTCACTACTGTTTCCCGCTGTGCCAACCATCTGGTCAATGCCTGAGATCCAAAGGAGCAGGGAGGGGTCGGGTGGGGTGGAGTACTGGAGCTGCCATGGACATCACCATAGTGAAGAGCTGTCTTCAGGGAAGTAGCCACCATCCAGGCCTCTCCAACTTCTCAGAGGGTTCACATGTAGCAGGACTTCACATTTGCTCTACATGAAAATGCACGCCTGTCTGTCTCCTGTTGTCGTGATCCTACAATAACCTATGTGGATTGTTTTTTCTAGGGAAAAGAACATGGGTCTCATGCTTATCCAATTCCGACCTAGTGAATTTTCAAAAACATGTCCAATAGCCAAACAGGTGGGTGACATGGTTTGGAGATCAACTGTTTTTCTTCAAGAACGGAAGGTGCTTTGTCAGTGGATAAAGCACTTGCCACACAAGCTTTAGGACTTGAGTTTGGATCTTCAGAACTCACGTAAATTCTGGGTGGGTGTGGCAGTCCACCTGTAATTCCAGCACTTGGATGGTGGAGTCAGGGGATCCCCAGAGCTAGCCAGCTGGATAGACTAGTAATGTCAGTGAGTTCTGAGTTCAACAGAGAGACTCTGTCTCCAAGAATAAGGAGAAGAGCAGTTGAAGGCAACTCCTGATAACAATCTAAGGGCTCCACATAAGTAAACACATGCATACTCACCTACACACATATGCACCTACACACAGATGGGCACACACAAGCACACCACACACATATACACATGCTAAAAACTGGATATCCAGCAAACTATATATTGTCTTCGTACTGTCCTCTCCCCTCTACCTCTCCTATTGCAATGTTTCATCGGGAAGATAGCTATTCTTTGTTTTGGAAGCAGAAGATACAATTTCTGCCTTCTGTGAGTTTCTCACCTAAAGAGGAATTATATAAACGTATGCAAGAGGGTAACATTATTAGCCTTTGAAGGTCTGAAGATAAGCTGTGTAAAGGAAAATTGAAATTAATGGGAACAAATGCAATTGGATAGCATTTGTCAAAGGAGTCTGCTAGGCACACCTACACTGATCATGCATTTTTATTCATGCAGAGGGACTCATTTGTTTTTGTGGGTTTTTTTTCAGAAGAGCTTACTATACCCCATTATATTTATGGCTTTCAGTCTGTGTACTTGGTAATGAGAATTATACAGTGCCCTCCCTAGAGGGAAATACTCCCAATGTAAGGCAACACAGTGCCCAATTGCCGAGCAGCTCAGAAGGGAGAGACAGCAGCTTTGATTGAGAAGGGAAAGATGACACAAAGATAGATGAGATGTGTGACTGAAGAATAAGTAGCCACAGCAGGCAGAGGCAGAGGGACTCCATGAAAAGGCCCAGAAGACAGCACCAAGGTGAGAAGCAGCCAGGGAAGTAAAAAGCCTGCGAACCAACTATAGAGCATGCTGTCAAGCACAGGGCCCCTTCTTTGCACTCTGGAGCCATGTTCATGAATTAGTAAAGAAGTCAATGGCCTCCTGGGAAAACAGTCCAGAGACAGACAGTGCTAACCCTGCCCTCTTCTCCATCGGATGATGGCAGGCTCTTGTTAAAACTACCAGGCCAAATGGGCTACCGTGAGCCTGCCATCTTTGTCATTTGGTCTCATTGCCTGCGGCAAGTAGAACTGTCATCTCCAACAAGGCATCATTGTCACCTTCCAACCATGCACCAAGAGTTGAACATGCAGAAGTGTAGGCTAGTCCCCAGGCATCCCTGCTAACTGTTTGGGATAAGAATTACCCCCATGAAGGGATGACAGCTCTAATATGCTGCCAAGCAGCATGTCAGTGACAATGGCTGTGAGAATTCCCAAGTGGGATCCATTGCTCCATAAGCTGGGCCTGCTGCTAAGGGAATGCTCGGTGACTAAGAGTTTTCAGTTCCTAGGATTTAGTTCCTAGTACCCATGTGGGCTGGCTCACAACAGATTGCAACTCCAGTTCCAGGGGATCCCATGTCCTCTTCTGGCCTCTGTGAGCACCTGAATACATGTGGTACACACACAAACAAGCAGGCAAATAAATACACAGATACATAAGACAGAATTTTCTGGGCCTGACCCTGAGCTGAGGCAGGAACAGTCCTGCTCTGTCTCAGAACTAAAGAGAAATGCTTCCCCTTAGTCTCTGGATCAGATTGTCTCCAAGCAGATGTCCAGAAGGCCAGGTGCCTAAGCTGCAGCTGTAGTTTCCTTAGAAAGCAGGCTTCCTCTTTGTACAGCTGTGGTCCCTGGTTCTGGGCCTTGTGATTTTTGACAGCTCAGATCAGGATGAGAACGGGGTATTACACATGAACACCATTTGTCCTGACAACAGAGCTGAGATGTGCAGCCTTTGATGGGATGCTTAATACATAGAAAAGGCAGGGCCATGTTTCCGGGTGTATTCTGAAGGAAAGAAAAGATAGAACAATTATAGGTAATAAGTGATGTAAGTCTGGGAAAAGAAACCACATCCTGTGGGTGAGCTCAGATGGTTAACAAATGGAATCCAAGAACTTCCCCTGTTGAGTAGGCCTCTAACAAGAGGCCCTAAAAGCCATGATTTACAAGGCAGGGGAGAGAGAACCAGGTCCTTGGCTCTGACAGAAACATGGGCAGGTCTACAAAGTGGAAAGCGGTTATCTTCTCTTTTTTTCTTTCTTTATTTAAATCTAAGTAAACTTGGCTGCCTTCTTAAGCTTTCTTCTAAGGCTGATATAGTCATTGCTTTAGTCCTACCTAAGCTGTGTGTACTTTTTAAGCAACCTATTTCTAAGCATTGACAGTCGGAGTAAAGCTTTGGTCAAGAGTTCTTAATGGTAGAAATCTGATGAAGTTAACCTTCTTTGAACATTAAGTGGGATGCATCTGGCTACCAGGTATGAAAAACAAAATGAAGCAAAAAGAATCTTGTTTTTTTCAACATGGTCATCATTCTGCCATGTCCTTCCTGGAAAAAGCATTTGATCTTTTCAACAATGGGGGGATTCAGGAGCAAAAAAACCAATATATTTACCAAATCAGGGTCAGGCAAAAAGCAGGATTGAGTTCAAGAGGTCAGGGAGAGCATGGACAATGTAACAAGACCCTATATCCAAAAAATTGGGGAAAATATATACATATATGTCTTACACACATCACATCAGATTGCAACAGATTTTTGTATACATGTATGTATCTGTGGTGTTTATGATTGTGTACATGTGTATACACGTGTGTTCACAATTGTGGAGGCCTAAGGTTGATTGATGTCAGATGGCATCCTCGATGCATTCTACCTTACATGTTGAGATTGGGTCTCTCTTACAGTGGAGTTTTATGTGGTCCTTCTAATGTTGCCCTTTTCCACACATCTGCATGATGCCACTGCTGCCTTTCCCACTGAACCCAAGAGTTGCTCCCAGTAAGCACAATCTGTGTCACTAAAGCCTCTCGAAGTCTGGCAGACACTGTGCTGGCTGTTAGGCGACCTTATCTACAGTAGTTCATATACACACTGGGAATGTGGAAACACACGGCGGCCTGTAATCACAGCCCATGGAAGGAAACAGTAGGATATCACATGCGTGAGGTTAGGGTGTTTAGAACAAATATCCATAGGCTTAGTATGTAGCCTATCAGTAGTTGACCTGTTACTCCTTTAAATATAGACTAGCACTGTGTAAACCGGAACTAGCAAAGCAAGAAAAGCCGCTGCATGCAAGGCTACCCAATTCCCTGGTAAATTACTGCCTGGATTGAGTACATTATAGACGCCTGCTGGCTGAGTCTACAGAGCCAGCTGCAAGCATGGAGTTGGTAGGGTTGCAGCAGTGGAGGTGTAAGATGAGAGCCACTGGGGCTCGCCCCCATGATATCTCATTACGTATATGCGAATACTCTAAAATCTGGGACACTTCTGGTGCCACGAGTTACAGATAAGGGATATTCAGTCTGTGTTTCTAATCTAAAATGTAATTATGTTTGGCTCTAAAGCTAGCTCAGGTCATGTGAGTCAGAGTTTTGAAATCACTTTGTAAAATTACTTCATTTTTAGGTGCTTAAAGTTGCTGTTGGATGTGATGCAAATAAATACATTCAGGTTAAAGGGTGAGTATATCACTTCCATTTACTGGGTCTTACTCTATGTTTTAAAACAAATGGTGCACGGAGTGGTAATCATGGGTTGAAAACACCAGCCTCTAACTGGCAGGCTCATGATGAAATCTAAAGTTGAACTAGAATTGGTATCCAGCTTCAGATGGTTTGAATATTTTATTTTATATGTACGAGTGTTTTACCTGCATATATATTTGATATTACATGCATGCCTGGTGCTCTAAGAGTCGAGAAGAAGGTATCAGGTCCCCTAAAACTAGAGTTACAGACAGTTGTAAGTCACCAAGGAGGTGCTCCAAATCAAACCTAGGTTCTCTGTAAGAAAAGCCAGTGCTCTTAACCACTAAGCCAATTCTCTAGACTCTGATTCGAAATTATTGTCAAGTCACATATTGTTTCAGTCACACTAGGAGGCAGCATTTCTTTCGTTGTCACTGTGGTAGTTTGAATGTAGTTTAGGTGACACTATTAGCAGGTGTGACTTTGTTGGAGTAGGTGTGGCCTTGTTGAAGTAGGTGTGGCCTTGTTGGAGAAGTGTGTCACTGTTGGGGTGGGTTTTGAATTGTCATATATGTTCAAGCCATGCCCAGTATCTCAGTTCATTTCCTGTTGTCTGCCTATCAAGATGTAAAACTCTGAGCTCCTTCTCCAGCACCAGGTCTGCCTGCATGGTGCCATGTCACACCATAATGATAATAGGCTTAACCATTAAACTGTAAGCTGCCCAGTTAAATGTTTTCCTTTATAAGAGTCGCCATAGTTGTTGAGTGGTGGTGGCGCAGCCAGGCAGTGATGGCGCACGCCTTTAGCCCCAGCACTCAGGAGGCAGAGGCAGGTGGGTCTCTGTGAGTTTGAGACCAGCCTGGTCTACAAGAGCTAGTTCCAGGACAGCCTCCAAAGACACAGAGAAACCCAGTCTCAAAAAAAAACAAAACAAAAAGCAAAACAAAACAAAAAAGAGTTGCCACAGTCATGTTGTCTCTTTACAGCAATAGAAACCCTAACTAAGGCAGCCACTTTCCCTCATAACAAGCCAGTCTCTATCTTTGCTATTGCTCAGCAGTCTGCAGCACGGTCCCAGAAAACAAGAGGGAGAAGCCATCCCCCTACTCTATATCCTACTTACACTACTTACGATTTCCCGTCAGAGTTGTCTACCCCTGTACTAGAGAGTCCTCCTCGTCCTGCACCGCTTTCCCTGGTTTTTTATTATAACCAAACAGAACCACCAATGGTTCCCTCAGAGCATCCCAAGATGTGACTTTCTGCAACCACACGACGAGGCACACTGTGCTGCCCATCTATAAAGCTGTCTTCGCAGAGTAGAGAATCTGCATCAACACATACAAGTCTGTCTGTCCGAGGCCCAGGGCTTAATGAAGACAACAACTTGCTGTGACTTCTTCCTTTGTGAGGGTGGGAGTGTGAGGCAGGAATGGTGGGGGATCATGGATTTTCACCTTGGTATTTAGGAACTGGCTTGCTCTAATCCAAAACAAGTGTCTGTTCCTAGGTGGTACATGAACTAGGGCAGTTGTTTTGTGTGTTTTCTTCTTTTTTTCACTCTTTGGGAGCCCACCACCCAGCTCCCAAATAAATACCTAGAGACGTTTTCTTACTTTTCAATTCCTGGACTTAGCTTGGTTTGTTTCTAGCCAGTTTTTCTTAAATTAACTCATCACCCTTTTGCCTCTGGGCTTTTGCCTTTCTTTATTCTATACATTTTTCTTTTGTTCTTACTCTGTGGCTGGCCGTGTGGCTGACTCCTGTGATGTCCTCTCCTCCTTTTTCTCATTCTTCTCTCCATCTTCTTCTTTTTCTATTTATTCTCTGCCTGGCAACTCCACCTATTTCTCTTTCTCCCTACCTATTGGCCACTCAGCTCCTCACTAGACCAATCAAGTGTTTTAGACAGGCAAAGTAACACAGCTTTATAGAGTTAAACAAGTGCAACATAAAAGAATGCAACACATCTTTAACAAGCCAGCACTGACATTGTCTGGGACCTTGTTAGAGAAATGCAGAAACACAAACCTCATTCAAATTGTCAGTCACACTGCAGTTTGTAAAAATTTCCAGCCAGGCAGTGGTGGCGCACACCTTTAATCCCAGTACTCGGGAGGCAGAGGCAGGTGAATCTCTGTGAGTTTGAGGCCAGCCTTGTCTACAGAGTGAGTTCCAGGACAAGTTCCAAAGAAATACAGAGAAACCCTGTCTCAAAAAACCATTAAAAAAAACCTACCAAATTAAATACTTTAAAGTTTTTCCAGCACAGGTTCCATGTCTCAAAAAACCAAAAGAAAAAAAAATATTCCAAGACACTAGGACAGGATTTAAGTTTAATAACTACTGAAGACAACATGTTTATAAATCAATGCTCAGCACAGTCAAATGCATTACAAATCCCTTCTCAGGTCCCAGCTGCCTCCCACACTGAGCAGTGCATCGCAAACAGTACTGCAGCACGAGCCAGCCCAAGTCTGGGGATCCGGGTAATAACTAACAGTCAGGCAGCTCTGACAAACACCTGGAGAGCATGCTCAACTACAGGACCTCTCTAGCTCTCCATCAGCGGCCTGCAGCTCTGACAAACACCTGGAGAGCATGCTCAACTACAGGACCTCTCTAGCTCTCCATCAGCGGCCTGCAGCTCTGACAAACACCTGGAGAGCATGCTCAACTACAGGACCTCTCTAGCTCTCCATCAGCGGCCTGCAGCTCTGACAAACACCTGGAGAGCATGCTCAACTACAGGACCTCTCTAGCTCTCAATCAGCGGCCTGCAGCTCTGACAAACACCTGGAGAGCATGCTCAACTACAGGACCTCTCTAGCTCTCCATCAGCGGCCTGCAGCTCTGCAACCATAAGAATAATTTGCATATCTTGGGTTCAAGGAGATCCATGCATCCCCTCTACACCCATTCTCTTTACCTAACATCTCTATGTCTATGAATTGTAGCTTGGTTATCATTTACTTAACAGCTAAAAGACACTTAGCATATTTGTCTTTCTGGGTCTGGGTTACCTCACTTAGGATGATTTTTTTCCTAGTTCCATCCATTTGCCTGCAAATTTCATGACATCACTTTTTTAAACAGCTGGTTAATACTCCATTGTGCAAATGTACCATGTTGTCCATTCTTTGGTTGAGGAACATCTAGGCTGTTTCCAGTTTCTGGCTATTTATAAATAAAGTCCCAATGAACATGGTTGATCCAGTATCCTTGTGGTAGGATGGGGGTGTCCTTTTGGTATATGCCCAAGAGTAATATAGCTAGGTATCTATATATGGTTAACTGTGGTCACA